GATTAGTTATAGATTTTCCCATTTGGCTTCTTTCATGTCTAGCCAGTGATAACACGGATCACACTGATGTACTTAAAATTTTCTTTTTAAAGCTTTATCCACAGACTCAGTTTGGAATCTCCTTTGGGAATTTGTGTCATTCACTAATAATGAAAGACTTCTTAATTGGCTGAATATTCACCAGGAAGTTTTCACTAAATGAAATATTGATTCGGCCCTTGACTAGGAGGAGCCCAGCTGGAAAAACTAATCTTGGAACCTCTCAGTATTCTTATACTTCATTTTCAACATTAATCAACTTGTTACAGCATGTTCTGATGTATTCAACATTAACTCTTAAAAGTGTGCATTTTGAATTTAGAACTAATTCTTGTGCTGTTATCTTAAACAGATCTGCACTGTTGCTTAAAAAAATAAAAGAAAATTTTAAAGCAAAATGATAATTCCTGTCTGAATATTAAATATTAGAATCACATATTCAAAGCATTGTTACAGTCCTGAAGATCCACTCAAATTTTTACAGCCAAAGAATTTTAAAATATTCTGAGTATAATAAATCATTCTGGAACTTTTAAAAAGTACAGTAACATCAATATATTACTAATGTAGAAATTCAGGCCCAATTGACCACATTTGTTAAAATTATCCTCTATAGCTAAAATTTTGTGCTTACTGATATCTATATTAAAACATAAAGCATTTTATGACAAAATCATCATTTTTATGTCTTGTGGGTCTAGTCGTTCATATCAACAGTTGTCACCTACAACTAAGAACAAACAGCAACAAAGAACAAACCTAATAAACTGTATTAATTGTAGATACATTTTCTTTTTATATTGGATATAGAGTGTATAAATGCTTGTTGTATCAAGGGAAATATTCCTGTGGTAATATATGCTTAGTTTACCAATCTAATAGAACAAATTCTTATTTTGCCTCTAGGATTATTTTGTTAAAATGTCAAAATTATTTTGTCACAAATTATTTCTAATAAAAAGTTATTGTTTCTCTGAACAGGTATGCAATCACCAAATTCAGTGATCCAGGAATACTGTTCTAAGAAAATTTCACATCATTTGTGGGGTTTTTTTGTTTGTTTGTTTGTTTGCTTTTTGAGACAGTGTCTCACTATGTAGTTGAAACTGACCTGGAACTCACTATGTAGCCCAGGCTAGTCTCCAACTCAGAGCGATCCTCCTGCCTCAGCCTCCCAAGTGCTGGGATTACAGGCGTGCACCACCACGCCTGGCTCATGTAATTTGTGTAAATAGGTGGCAACATTAATAAATCATCACATCTCTGTAATAGAACTATTCCACAATAGCAATTTCTCTTATTTCATTTAACATATTCTTCTTACAGTGTTGATTTGTTGGCTGTGCTACAAGTTTTGGTACTTTTTGTTTTGGAAATTTCAAAGTTTGCCTATTATCAAAATATTTGAAATTTTTAAGGTTCAGGTTTAAACCTGAGCAATCATTGATTTTAGTACAGCAGGTGGCAGTTTTGTTTCTTCTGAATGCACTGATTTCTGTTGTTTAAGGTTGAATTTTTTAAGAAGATGGTATTTTAACAATACAGATGTCCCAGTTGATCATCAGAAGTCTCTGGTATACCCAGAGACTCTACATTTCTAAAAGCACTGCAGGTACTAGTGCTGCAGTAGTTCAAAGACAGGCATTTCAGAAACACTGCCTTGTAGCATCAAAGGCACAAAAAGGAATCTGACCTTGAGTTCCTGTCTCAAGGGACTTAGTACCCAAGGTAGACCACTGATAATGATACCCTGCAGCCATCAAGTGGGCAGCTTCATTATCATCTTTAGTGGGCCCTTCAAACAAAGTGAGACCTTGAAGAAGGTCTAAGAAGTGCCTCATAAGTGTTGCTGCTTCGGCACCACCACCATGACTCTAGCACCACTTTTTCTGGGGAACACTTTCGTAGTTCAGTGGCTCATTACTTTTATTTTTTAACCAAAAATGTTCATACTCTAGGAAAGGAAAAACAGAAAGACTACTGAACTCAAAAGTGAACATAAATTGTAACAAGAAAATTGGCTTTGTTTCTTTTCCTGTAAGATATAATTTTTCAAAGCCCGGAGCTTGTCACGGGCAGCTCTCATTGCTTTTGCCAGTCATGGTCACTCGGGTGACCAATACCTGGGACAGAAATATGCTCCGTACCTGAGTAATTATAACCAACTGCTGTTTCTTCTCAAGAGCTGTCTCAGGGAGCTTTAGATTTGCTCTTCTATAATTCAAGATCTGGAATCTAAAACAACAACATCACTCATAGAATCAGAGTATCTGTTTTAAGCTGATCGCATTCCTGGTTATTAACACATCTCAAAAGTATCATTATTTTATACTAAAGTTTTATAAGTATAACTAAATTATTTTGAAATTGCACTCATGTCTCAAAAACTTGACTAGAGAGAGACAAAACACATTTTAGCTTCATTAGCAATATAATAATTTAGTACAGTGGAAGAGGTGTAGTTGATCTCTCCATTTTATTTTGATTATTAATAATTTAATAACAAGTAATAAATTAATAACCAATTTCAGATGGTAACTATTCCTTGCTTTGATGGGAGCCTGGTCAAGGATTTCATGTCACCCTTAATATTTTTTTCCTGTGGTGATTACTTCTGTTTATCTCATTGCATCTGTGATGAATAACTGCTATCTTAGTATAACATTTTGCTGTTGAATCATACCTTAAAATGAATGCAGGTCAGGAACACAGTATGTTTACCCTTATGGGTAAATGTGGCTGTTTATGATTTGGCAAACATCGGTAGCTGTAAGTCTACTTTCTAGGTTCAAAATATATGCAGTGTACTCAAATTGCTAAATTTCTTCATGAGAAAAGTGACAAGGTTTATCTACTTCTTAACATTTAAAGCACCTTATAATTACCTGGAAAAACAAAACCTAATTGTTTTCCCTGTTTCCTTACTTACGTACTGGTAAGAGGAAAAAGAGGGGTTTTCCTGGGAAGGAGATGAAGAGCCTTGTGGAAGGTAGCACTCTTTACCCTCAATAAATATATAGAAGTCTGCTGTTCTTTTGCCTTTCCTTGAGAGAGATATATTTCTCTCTTTCTCTCTCAATTATCTATTTACGTCTAAGACTATTAAAATTATAACTATGCATAGTTATGCTTTGTGACTTGGTTGGTCCTCTCTGTGCATGTTGGTCATTGTCAGTCACATCCTTCACAAAGACAAAATATCAAAGTTTTTTTTACAACTTTATTTATATAAATCAATATGTTTGCCAGCCTGTACAGAACAGATAGATGGTCGGATGCTGATTCTGTATGGAGTTCTCCATTTAAGCCTTGCTATGTTAGTAATCTTACTTTATTATCCTTCATTTAGTGTTAGGAACTTTTGCTTTCTCTTTCTTTCATTGATACAGTTTATTTTGGGGCACTGTTATTGGTTAGCAGAAAATCAAGAGTCATATATGCCCCATCTCCACACGTACGTATCCTCCCCCACTATTAACGCTGCTCACCAGAGAGGTACACCTGTTACAGTCAGTGTATCACATGGGCTGCATGTGTTTTACAGCCCTTTATCAGATGTGTTCCTTTTAGCCTATGGCTTATTTTCTCAATTTCTTGACCTTAAATTTCACAGAGTTGAAAATTTTAATATTAAGCCATCATACCTAAGGTCACGTAGATTTTTTTCTATCCTAAAAGTTTATAGGTTTTTATTTTATTACTGTGACCCATTTTGATTTGGTATGAGTGTGAAGCTCGTAAGTTTTCCTAAATGTATATTTTTGGAGGGGATGTTCAGTTACTTCAGCAACATTCACTGAAAATATTATCTTCATGCCGTTGTATTATCTTTTCTCTTTTTTGCAAAAATAATCACATCATTATGTTTATCTGAGTCTATTTCTGGCCTGTCTCTTCTATTCTGTTTATCCATCTTTCTTTTTTGCCCCACACGGTTTTAATTCATGCAACTTCATGTTCAATCAAGAAACAGGGTACGACTAGTCCTCTGACTTTATTCTTTTTCTTCAGTATCATGCTAGCTACTGTGGATATTTGGGTGTGGGTCTATATAAACTTCAGAGTTAGTTTGTTAAGATCCACAGAATGTTGAGATTTTTGTTGAGATTGAGTTGAATCTACAGGTCAATTTGAGAAAAACAGACATCTTGACAACATTGAGTATTCTTAACCCATGAATGTGGAATATCTTTCCATTTGTGCCCTTCTTCTTTGGTATCTGTTATCAGAGTTTTGTAGTTTTCCTCAATGGAACAGTTATATATTTGCTCAAGAAGTCCACTTTGCTCCTGTGACCATCAGCAGCCTTTTAAAAAAGAAACGTACCCTGTCCTTGTCAGAGGTTTGGGCAAGTATTTGTTAATGATTGGGTTTGATGGGAAGCCCTTGCTGTCTGACCTCTTTGTTTTTACTTGTGGTTTTGTTTTGCAGTATTTGTCTTTTAAATTGACACAGACTTTTGGTAATATTTCAAAAATTATTACAATTCTCAGCAAAATTCAAAACAAAATATAATTTTAGGTGTTTTGGATAATGGAAAATAGAATAATTTCCTCCCTCTTGTTTTAGTCCTACTTTCACTGTATTTAATTGAGAGACATAATCAAAATGTTTATTTCTGAAGTAAATAACTTTTAGTAATGCTATTTTCCTTTTTCTAAAAAATTATAATTATTTTTATACTGCAGCTTTAGTATATTCAAAATTCCATTCTTAGCCTGCAAATTTGATTATCCTGCTTATATTTTAGGAGAAAATGATTAGATACACGTCTAGAATTCTAAAACTCACTTTTACATGACACAATGACCTTAATTGTTACATAAATTTAACTATTGTTTTCTCTGCAAAATCCGTCTTTCTGAGATATGTATTCTGTGCTTTATGAGATAGACATATGGTTGATTTTAAACACAAACTCTTATTAGCAATATTATTAATTTTTTTTCTATTTCCAATAGGCATTCTCTACTTAAAATGTTACCAGATCTAAGGGTCCTCAATGGCAATATGCTAAGCTCTTCCTCAGAAATCCACACAGAGGAACACTCTCCTCGAGAGTCAGGACAGTTTCTAGCATTTTGTCAGACCCAGATTCGCGAATTCCAGTTACTCTCTGAAAAGTGTATCACCAGAAGAGGGTAAGAGTGTTATCTTCCCCTTGTATTTAAAATAAATAACGTGGGCTGGGGTGCAGCTCAGTAGTAGAGTGTTTGCCTGACATAGTTGACAGTTTGATTATCACAGTAATTATGTGCTTGCTTATGAACAGTATGTTTTGAGAAATAGTCTGCCTTTAAAGAAATCTTCTAGGCCTCATGTTTTTCTTCTTACAAATACATTAACGTGTTTTGAAAAGAATCTGATATATATAAATTCTAAACTAATATATAAAATAAATGAAAGCATGAGGATAATTTCATGACACTGTCGTACCTTCATTCTATTAGTCATCAAGCACTCAGACATATATCAAAGTTATTGTGAGCAAAATCTGTCGTTGAAAAAATTAGAGATTAGCATAAATGAAAATTAGATAAATAAAAGTTTACATTGAAATAAGGCAAGTTTTACACATCATTCATATTATATGTTAACGTGTCACGTTACTGTGTATTATATTTGCATTTAAAATATTATGGGACCATAATGGAGGAAAGCAGTCACCGCTTTGCATGTATTCAGAGGAAGGCATCTGGGAGTCGTCATAGTCAAATATAACTTTAATTCTGAATAAATTATAATTAATTTTTATAACTTAATTTTAAAATATGCATACTCCAGAAAATGTAAAAAAAAAGAGAGAAAAGTTTTCACATTTTTTTAACTTGCGATATCTTTCTAACTTGATTGGAAAAATAATATATGCTTTTTAATGTCTAAACTTAATTGCTAAATTTTATGCTTACATTATTGATACTTATACTTTTATACATCCTTGGCTTATTGAATTATTTTTCCATTTAAATATTTTTGAATAAATCTATTCATACTAAAGATAAATCCCACAACTCTACTTCAAAAATAGTTTTGATTTTTATGTAAATGTTTCTTTTTAACAAATAATAAGATTATTTACATATATCTTTGTGAAAATAGAAACTAATATTACTTTACATATGTGTAGTAATGTACAAGTTTGTATGTGACTGATCCTTTAAGTCTCTCATGTTGAACTTCAGGGTTTTTTTATTAAATTTACAAAGACTTTGTTCCCATTTTTTCCTTTTCCATATTCCCCCTGCCCACCCATTCCCTTTCCCTCTCCCTTTTGGACCTTTTATTCCTCTTTCACATTATCTGTTATACAATTCAGCCATAAAGAATGATAAACTAGAAATTTAGTTTTTAACGTTATAAAATTCAGACCTTTGGACTATTGTTATTGCAGCTTAAGTTTCATTTTAGCTTTGGTATTGGAAAATAGTCTATTTTTATGTATGTGCTTAATGCATAATACTACTGCATTCAACATTTAATCAGTAACATTTGGTGTCCCCGTATTTGCATTGAACTTTTTCTGCTTCATTATCCAACAAAATGTATGAAATGAAAAATATCAACAATTTATCAGGGAGGACTATATTAATATATAGCGATTACTGTTGAGAACATAGTCACTAATTATCTTTATATTTACAGGAAATAATTACAATTTTCTGTTTGCTGGGGTTAAATATTTTTATACTTTATATATACTTCATTGTCACAGAACAAGAATAATTCAATTTGTGGCTGTGTATCTATATATAATATTTAGCCAGAAAATTATGAGATAAGTGAAAATTTAAAAATAAACGAGAAATAAAAGAAAATAAATAAAATTAAGAATGTCTCATTATATTGCAAAGTCATTTTAATTTGTTATTGGACTATCACATATGGTAAACATTAAAATTTGATCAATTATACAAATCTGCACATTAGAAAGGAAACAATTGCTTAAGAAAATCCCAAGCATTTGCGTCTCAATCTATTTGAATTCTTTTTGCAGTGAAATATTTTCCCAAAGAGAAATGTAAATTAAAAAATTCCCATAATATACATTCTTTATTTAAAAGTCCAGTACAGATATTTTGAGTGACAAGAATCAATGTAGAAAAACTTTTAATTTTGCTTCATAAATAACATTTCCAATTTTATGCCACCATGATCTCTTAAAGCTATGGAAGGAAAATAATGAATTTTTCTCATTTATTAGTCCCCCAAATCCTTGAGCAAAAATGGTTCTAAAACTGGCATTTTATCTGGACTAACATCTAAATTAACTGAATACTTTCAAACTTTGTTCAATATGAGAACTTTTTTATAAATAAGTAAAAATAAATTGTAATGAATATTGTAGTAAAGTCTAATGTTCATGTTAGGAATAAAACAATATTTGTTTTTGAAAATGGTCTATGCTGATATAATTCTTATTGTGAAATGTTCTGATCATTTATTTGTTCAGGGATGTCTTCACCCTGGATACAGTGGAAAACTTCTATCATTATTTTAAGAAAATGATGACACTTAGTAATCAATACAGACATGCACATGAACGTGGGGATGTGTGTATCACCAAGAGAGATGAATCAGACACTCAGAGAAACTGTTTGCCCCCACCATATAGTAACAGCACAGTAAAAACTGGGGCCTTTTGTTCTTGTGCAAAGGAGCACAGTGCTGACTCATCAAATACTTCAGACCAGTGGATGGACCCTGGTTTCAGTCGTTCCCCACTGAGCTACTCCTCTGTACATAAAGGCTTGGAAGAAATAAATCAGGAAGAATTAGTACGCCAGAAGAGAGAAGACAGTAAGACAAGCAGTATTACCACCCAAAGTATCCAAATGATGGAAACAACAACAAATTCTCTGCTGAGGAACTGCCAAAATATCAAACACAGTGAAAAAATGTAAGCTATATCAATCACTTTTCCCTTACATATGTTATATCTACTATTTTTGATAAACTATTTAGACGATGGAATCAAATAATGACTTGGTAAAGATTTAAATCACTGAAATTTCTTATACTACAGAAATGTTTTATGCTAACTCCCTTGACTATGTTTTCATGATGTGCACAAATTACTAATCGCACTTCAGATTAATGTGGTTGTATGTTGACTGATTCAGATGTAATTTCTAATATTATTTAATTTAAAATGAGTAATGAGAAATTATTTTTCTGCTCTCATTTGTAAATAACTAAAATATTTTTGAGGAAATGGAATATTACATTGAAAAACAGAAAGTAAGACATTCCAAATAATCAGGTAACTTCATTTTTTAAAAAATGTACTTTTGCATGTGCTCAGTATTTTCTTATTGATCTAGTAAGCACTTAATGAGCACCACTATTTGAATGCAGTGCTATAATTTTCTTTGGTGTAACAGCTACATAAGGAAGGGCAATATTCCCTGTGATTAGACACATAATCCACCTCACAACTGTTAAACACTTGTAGAAAAGTGAGTCTCTGTCTTTAATTGTTTATCGAACGAGCAAAGATTGGCTTTTACTTTGGCCCGTCAACTTATTGTTTGTGTGTCTGTGGCCTCAATAGCAAGCCAACAAGAGAAAAATTGTCCTATTCAGTTTGTCTGATACTAAATACCAGAAATCCTGATATCCTTGGTCTTGATTTTTTTCAGGCATTGTCAGCATTAAGTGATTTCTTTTCTGAGAGTTAAACAGTTTACTATACATATGTAAAAGACCTAAAAATACAGAAAAAAGGAAATGTGTACTCACTGCTAAACCTTGTTATTTGGAGATTTAGGAAGATTCATTGTCCGTTATATTGAAGTTTCCTAAGCAAGATTTATAGGTATGCTTGTGCTAGGGACTTACAGATTTTTTACATTTTTATTTCTGCTAGAAAAAAATAGAGATGATGATAGAGCTCTTTTTTTCCACCATAGAAAGTATGCTGCATTTAGAAAACCTCCAGTCAGATTCTTTCCTTGTTTTCAAACACCAGTTCCTGTTTATATCACCGAAGACAATATTCCTCATCTAACTCTTGGTTTTCTTGTATAGATTTTGATGTGAGGCTGAGGTGTTCATAAAGTTGATGCATTTAAAAGAAATTCACCTTATAGTTAGTGAAACATAATGTACTGTAGAGAAATACAAGATGTTAGGTTCAATGTGTTTTCTTATAATCCTTACACTTTTTATTAAACTTTTTACATTTAAACCTTGCAAATTTTTTTTTCTGGCTCTTATTTTCCCCTTTGTCACCCAAAATACCTAATAGGGTTTTTATATACTAAATAGTACCTCATCTCTTTTTGTTGGAAAGATGAGGAATGAATGGATAATTGCATGACCAAATGTGAATTTACAAAGTTCTGTTCATCCCAGTAGGAGGAAATGATTTGTTGGAACATGAATATTTCTTCCAAGTACCACAAGTGCAAGTAGTTTATCTTAGAGCAGAAGTTTTAGCCATCAACTTCAAATTTGGATTCCTATTAAATAGATTAAAAGTTTTGACTGGCTGTAGGTAAAAATGGTGTTAATGGGGTTGATTCTATAATTAATGACAATTATAAAGTTAAATAACTGTACAAAATACCAATGTCCTTTCTTTTTAATTTCCTATAAACACATTGCTGTCAGAAAAAGTTTTATGGTCATGTCTGATAGAGTTTATTGCCTAATTCCACTTCATTTTAAACAAAATATAAGGATGTGTAAGAATGGACAAAAATCTATTAGGTTTGGTAATGATATAATTATTGAAAAGTATTTCAAGGGAACATTGGAGAACAGAACCTCTTCTCTGTGTAACTTTCTGTGTAACTCAGGATTTGAAGGCTACCATGAAAACATATTTAGCACTTAACTTTTACCAGTACACTGATAATATTCTTGACCTGTCATGTAAAGGTACAAGATTCCAATGGTGAATATAACTATACTGTATACCTAAAATGTACCAATAAACTCAATGAGAAAAAAATTTAAAAAATAAAAACTTTTTAAATCCCAAGGTTAATGAACTTGAGCTAAAATGTCAGGGCAACATATAAAAAAATATGTTTGGGAAAGGAAAGACATTCCAATTAAGAAAAATTGAATGATTTATTAAAGAAGAATTAAATGATTAAGCATACCGTGAACTCACAATCAGTATTCATTTGTATTCACATTTGCTGTTGCTGAGCAGCTTACTGAGATAAGGAAAACACTTAATACTCATTGATTCATTGCCTGAAATGGGCAAATGGGGGTGAGTGCGAGATGTTAGATTTTACTACTGGGCTTACAGGAGTGAGCTTTAAGTAGGTGGCGGTGAGCAGGTGCGGAAGAGCACCTATTAAGAACCTGAGAGGATTTAGCCTTTTACAGTGAGGAAGGCCTTCCTCTTTTCCTTGCCAAAGCTCTTGCCCCATACTGTAGAGAATCTCAGTCATCCTTACCAAGTTGAAATTGGATCCTACATTTGTCTCCTGTTTTCTGCATCATCACCATCTCTTACTGGTGTTCTCGGTATCACAGAAAATTTTTACCCTATCTCCACTTTAAATAAACAAAGCTCCCTTTCACTCAGATCCTTCTCTGAACTACTGCCCTATTCTCATGTTCAGATTTGAAGGTGGTTGCAGTTTTTAATTCTATGACGACAGTTAAAAGAAGCGGTGCTGTTTTTAAGTAACACTTTGTGTGATTCATGTTTATAGCTCGCAAGAATCTCTTACCTACAAGTGTGTATTCACACATACTAAAAATATTTTCTTTCTTCCTTTTTTGTAGAAAGGCAGCTATGGTGATCCAGGCATACTGGCGTGGTTACAGTGTACGCAGACAGATTTATTTCTCTAGGAGGATACATACTGTTACCACAGAACCCCTGCCGAATTCCTTCAATAATCAGACTATTCTAATGAAAGAAAAAAGGAAAATGATGATGAATATCCATGAAAAGAAGGAGAAGGCTGCTGTTCTTATTCAGGTTAATTTTAATCTTTTGGTAGCATGGTTAATCATGAAAGATGTATTATCTTTCTCTGGGTTATTCTGTGTAGAAGTCCATCTCCAAATCTTGGTGATTTACACTTACATGGATTTATTTTATACTCACATGGCATGTAAGCTGCATGTTAGATGTAAATTGACTTTGGTTCTTCTTAATATATAGATAGAAGGAACAGTCTTTATGTCTGAAACAGTATTTTTATGACTGTGGGTCAAGCTGAACCACACAATAATATTTAAACTCCTCAACTATGTCATTTATCAATTTGGCTAAACTTTGACTAACCAAAGCAGTCTCATTTGGCCTACATAATACCTACTTCTAGAAGTATGTTTTCAAAAATTTGCCAAAATGTTAAAGTTCTTTTTTTTTCTCATTGAGTTTATTGGTACATTTTAGGTATACGGTACAGTTACATTCATCATTGGGATCTTGTACCTTTACATGACAGGTCTTGGTTCTCGTTTTTTCCCCATATCCCTGACCTCTCTTCATCCCCTCCTCCCTTCCCTATTTACAAATACTTTATTTCCTTTTTTTCATTTTCTCATATTTTTTCCTTTTCCCTTATTTTCTTTCCTCTACCCTTCCCACTTCCCCTAACCTTTAGCCCTTTTCTTCCTATTTCACATTGTCAATTATACCATTAGGATCTTATAATACCTATTTCATTTAAAAATGTAGACATTAAGATGTGAAAATACTTGACTTAATCTCACCAGATTTTGCAGTGAGTATTAACTTGATTACATTCACTTAGGGTTTTGTTTGTTTGTTTTTTAGATTTGTCAGACACTATTCTAGGTTTAAGAAATAAAACTATAAACAAAACTACAAAAATGCCTGACCATTTGGAATTTTTATCCTGATGAAAGAGCCATTCAAACTAAATACATACATAAAGTTGAGTCTGTGGAAATTCACCTCAGCTGAACAATAGTGACCAAAAAGAAAATCGGCTTTTCTTTCCATTCACTCAACAACTATTTTTCCCTGTGAAAATCATGCTAGTTCATATCCTGTTGGACTGTGCAGTTAGTCCATTTGTTAATGATAAAAATCAAGGAGAAATATAAAGCAGGATGAGGATGTCAAAATGAAGTTTTTAATTTTAAACAGAATTGATATGAAAGACCAGAAAAGTTGACATTGACGTGAGATTCTAAGCCGCTGGATATCTGGAGAAAAATACTGCAGAAAAAGGCATATAAGCTTCAGAGCCCCAGTGTAGGAGCACACGACTGTATTCAAGCCAGAGCAAAAAGCAGCAGAAGCCAGTGGGACTGGAGAGTGACAAGGGGGAGACACATAGGATTTAGAAGTCATAGGTGATGGTGAAGAATTTGATTTTTCCTCCTAATAATAAGGGAAGACATGGAGGATGTTGAAAAGCAGGCTGACATGCTCAGTTCATTTTATATTGCAAATATATTGCAGGAGCAGTGGCAGAAAAACCGGTTAGGGGGTCAGTGCAGTATTGAGAGAAAAATCATGGCCCATTCCAGGATGTGAGGAGTTCAGGTGATCCAAGTGTCACATTCCAGGCTATTATTGAGTTAACATGAAGTGATGAATAGATTTACTATAGAAACAGAGACTGATAATGTTAGTTATCCAGATGTGTTGTATGCAAGATAGGCAAGGGTCAGGAATGCTTCCCAGTTACTTGGCACAATCAAAGGGAAGGATAAACTTAATATTGAGAAAAAGAGATCTTTTTCTCTCAAGTTCCTGGCTTTCACTAGTAAAGCTGTAGTTTTCATGACAGTTATCTTTGCTATGGTTCTAATGAATATATGTAGTATTTTGGTGTAGTTTCTATTGTACTCTTCCTGAGAGCAGTATACAGACAAAGCCTGATACCATAGTAGTAAAAATGAAGGGAGACATTTGATTTCAGGAAGCTACAAGAGCAAGAAACTTCACTTACTATCTCAAAATAATGTTCTCCTGCATAAAAATTGTAAATATCTAACAGCCCAAATTCTTTCTGTTATTATTGGATGAGCAGTACATTTTTCAGCAGTAATAGTGAATGGCTATTAAACTTTTGCTTCTTTATTACTCTTAAGAGGAGTTCATTACTTTATGAAGCTGTCAGTTTGGTGACAGATATCTTTATTAGATCTCCTTTGGTTGAGGATCTTAGTATCCGTAAAGGGAATCATAATTCATCTTTTCTTCATAATTTATGGCAAGTTGCTTTTGTTGTACATGGTAGTAGTCAAGTCACTGAATTCAAACTCATTTTCTCTTGTCTGGGGTATAATCACTTAAAGCACCCATTTTAAGGTACACATTTTAGGATATCTAAACATCTTGGGGGGCAAAGAATGACAGACGAAAAGAGCCTTGGCTTTACAAAAATCATCGTAAAGATTTCATGAAGGAGGTGCTGGACAGTGCTCTCTGCTCACCAGAATTTGAGTTCTCCCTGGAACACAGGCGAGTTAGACGTCGCAGCTTCCCTTGCGGTGTGTCATGGCCCTTTCTTCGTTCTGGTTATTAGAATGGGAAACAAAGTTGTGTGCACCACAGCCATATCTGCCCCATAAAGCCTCCCAGAAGACCCTCCGTATTATTTTTCTTTTCTGTGCTTGAAATGTGGACAGATCCAAGAACTTAGAATCTGTTGAAGCTGAATAGTCTGCAAAGACTGGATATTTGACTCACTTCATGGTAAAGTGATGTCCCAAGGGCTTGTTCACCCTATCTGTGTTGGTTATATGATTTTTAAAATCCCGTTTTGAATTATTATACATGCTTGGATGTAGTTGTTACAGCATCAGTGTAGATATGTAGGAGAGTGGAATTCCAGGCCGGACATAAAGGAGAATGAAAACAAAACAAAAAAAAAGAAAGAAAAATGCGGCGGGGGGGTGGATTTAGTATTACTGGAACGACCGTAGATCACATTGTAATAAGACTACGAAAAGAGCTAGAATATTCAAAGAATATAGGAGGAACATAATCAGAGATGGGTGATAATAAGGGTATCATATATACTGGAGGGTGGTACCCGGTCGTAGTTAGAAAAGAAAATGATATCATGTCACATATATCCAATACAGGTAGAATTGACTGGCTGGAAATTGAATGTGTAGGAGAAATGATTTAATTACAGATGGATTACTGGGAAAAAAGTTCTGCCTTCAAGCAAAATAAATCAATTAGGAGAATAATCTGAATATTTCTTACCAACATGTTTATGCTACTATTATTTCCAATAAACTGCATAAAGATGTCCGGAACATGAATGCCTGACCTTACAGAGTCAAGAGGGAGTTATATGTAGGTGTCACAAGAGAAAATGACACATTACAGCCTTTGCAGAAGTTCTGGTCCTGCTGGTGACTTATGTTAGACCCACTGTGAGCCATAATGCATCGATCTGGTGGTTCATGTCATTGAAGGCCTAAAGATTGTCCTTTCTACTCCTGTACCTAATCTTGTTATCCCATAATTATAATGGCAAAAAAGTGCGGGGTAGATAAGGAAGTTGACTTTAGAAAAAAGAATCCGGGGAAATAAAATACCTCTCCTTAGTTCTTAGAACCTCACCAGGACAGTCAGGGAGAAAGGGATGTGAAGGGTCAGCATCTGCTGCCCGTCCACCATGTTAGGCCACACTCTGAGAGGAAGCAAGTACTCAAGAGAAAATAATACCATAGAAAGAAAATCTGAAAAGTGAAGAATATTTTTTAGTCTTTATCTGTTTTCTTGTATTGAATATTAAATAATTTAAAAATGTTTTTACTGAATTTCAAAATGAAAGGGGTAAAAAATAGTCTAATAACCATTCAGCCTTATGAAAGGAAAAAATCAAGAGGACAAATAGCCGGTGACGTTCTCCAAAGTAAGTTAAAAAGAAGAAAGCTACTTTCTTAAACAATGCTTTCAATTTTGCTCCTTATTGCACAGTATCCTCTTTTTGCTTTCTACCATTTAATATTGCTCAAGTTCTTTTCTATACCAATATCCTTTGCTCCTCATGTTAGGAGAACCTTGAAGTCTCTTGAGAAGTTAGAAATTGTTCTTACTAAGTTACAAAACAAAAGAATATTATGTGCACTATGATTTCTTTTAGCAGTCCTAGTGATCAAAGTCAAGTCCTTTACCCTGGGCTACATCCTGAGCCCTTTTTAAAAATTATTCTTTATTTCGAGACAGGGTCTGAGGTCAGATCAAACTTGAGATCTTTCTCCCTCAGCTTCCAAGTAGTTGGGATTACAGGAGGGTGACACCAGGTCTGGCTCCTAATTCAATTTTTAGAGGCAAAAATGGTTAGAATTTAATCAAGTGTATTTGTGAATTTTACATAATGTTTAGTATATGACTTTCTTACTGATGAGCTAAGTAACTAAGTAAATATAATTTCTAGAAGTGAAGGATCAAGGTAATAATATTAGTATAGTAATAAAGTATTCATTATGTGATAGTCAAAATATGTGGTAATTATGTGGTCATCAAAATATAAAATTTCTAATTAAATCTATATAGCAGTTATATTTTATTTTTATCTTTTTTATGTAAGATCCTGAGCTTATTTTTAAAGTATTGATAACATCATAATTTGAGTCAAATCCATAAGAAGGGTGCAAAGTAATATATACCAATAAAGAGCAGAAACATAGTTTAGGCAATAAATAGACTAGAGAATATAGCCTCTTCAGGATTCCCAGACCTAGCATATGTTTTTCCTGAAAAAGAAATCTCTATCTCTTTGAAGGGAACTTGAAGCCTAACACATGTGTAGAGCAAAATAAATTGTAATTTTTCTTAGGGAATTGACAGTGTCCTAACTTAATTCTTCTGTGATGAGGTTAGGTTGGAGGAAGCTGAAGAAGAGCCTGTTGGGATAGATGGTGTGATTTGATTGAAATAAGGTTGTTTTTTGTTTTGTTTTCTTTTTCCTCCATGTAGGAAAAGATAGATTGGGGATATAAGTAGTAGAACACAGAGAATGATTGAGAAAAATATGTCTTAGTCTTAGATTTGAGAGCAAAAATTGAATTTTCACATCAAATATGTTGGATGGATAGAGTCAAGTTATAGAGAACTAGCCTTTTCACAGCACCATTCCCCGCTGAAAAAATAAGGTAAATTACTGCACCTATTACTGGAAACCTGAGTTTCTGCTAGTTTTCGGAGTGAGGATAGGTACATTAAAAACTCAAGTAATTATCTTTGGAAGAAAAGAACATCTCCTCTATGCTGTGTCAGAGAAAGGAGGCTAATCATGACGCGTGTGCTTGGAGACTAGCTTCACCACTGTGAAAATGCTATAGCTCTCGATAGGGTAGTGGCACTGTGGAGAACTCTGTATCTGCTTGTATTGGTGTCTTCCAAGTCCTGTCCAGGACCACACACCTGAGAATGCCAGCAGCAATACCAGGTTAAGCATGTATTGCCACATATTATGTATTATTGGTATTATATATATGATAACACCAGTATTATTGTTAACAGTATGATTATTGAAAACTGTTGTAAAATATCATTTACAGTCAAATATGTCTTTCAAGTATATTTCATTAGGTTATAGTTAAATAAACCTATTTTAAAATCATGTTAAATAACTTGTGTGGCTATTCCCATCGTTTGAAACATTTTCTTAGATTTTAAAGTCTTTCCTTTTATTAAATATTTAACTTTTGTAGTTATCTTTAACATATGTCTTATTCCAAAGTCAGAGCCAAGCAAAGAATATTCAGAGAATCCAAGTTTCTAATAATAAAGCTATAACTCTCTTTTCTGCTTTTATATGTCAATAATTTACACTATTTTACAATTTATATTTTAGTTTTAATCTTAAGCAATTATATATACTCAGATATGTGTTTGTGTAACTTATATTTATATTTATTTACTATTTTTCATTGATAAGTAAGAACATCCAAAATATACTTATTTCTCCTTTGATTTTTACACTTAAGTATCCTAAAACTCTCACCCTATCCATATATTTTAAAGCTTCATTTTGCTTGTATGCATAGTTCAGAAAGTTTGCATAATCCACAATTATTAGGGAATCTAACTGTTTTTAGTTTTACTATTTTGTGCTGAGTTTATTTTTAAATGAAATTAATTGGTTGCTACAGGCCTTGGTACTTCTTCTCTAGTATAGACATTTGTGTATGTTAACGTTTTCCTAAATGTGGGTTAGCTTATTTTATATGTAATCATTGGAAAATTAGCAAAATTGTTTTTTCTTTGTTTCTCTTTCTTCTTCGTGTAGAATGGGTCCTTGGAGGAATTGTCAGATAATTGATTGGTTGACCTACATGTGCAGTTGAGGGAGTTTTAAAGATTCTTTTCTGCTTACCACAAAGAAAGTCTCCTGAGATTCAGACACATGCAGTCGCTTAATTTATCTTGCAGTTTTAAGTGTCACATAAAGTTCAAAAAACAGATTATTGAGCCATTAAACTAAGTTCTAAGATGTTTTATCTTCCTAATGGGATAACACAGAGAATCTGTTTTGAGGTTTGATCTATAACCCTGTATAACATAGTTTAAATTTTTGTTTAGGCAGTTTGGAAGGGATTTATTTTGCGAAAGAAACTGACAATAGCACTAGAATCTATCAAGAATGAAGAATCTGAAGAAGAATATGAAGAAATAGATTTAAACGATTTTACCTTCGATGAAGTAAGTACCAAATACAACAAACCAATGTTGCCATAAAATATTTTCAGCGCATTATTTTGGAGCTAAACCAGTTTCTAAGATTTTCTTCCTAGTGGCATTAAGTAAGTTATAGTTCATTTTCTGCCAGGTTCATTTTTTTGAGACAGCAATGCTCCTAGTTTCCGAACATCTTTATTTGCCCTACAAGCTTGGGCAGTGTGTAAAGGTTGTCGTGAAATGATTACAAGAGGACTTGCTACCCTTGACCACGTTCTCCAAAGGTTAATACGTTATGTATCCAAAGCATAGTAGCCATGCTTAGGGAGTCAACGCTGATACGATACTGTTGTTTTTCCTATTAATGTTCTGTACTCCATGTAAGAATCAATCGAAGATCACAGGTTACAGTTAGTTGTCATTTTCCCTTAGTCTACTTTAAGATAGAACAGTTCCTCACGTTTTCTTTGTATTCCATGAATTTAATACTGCAGAAATAGACTCCTTATACATGGTCTGAAAAAATCTTAGATGGGGGCATGTAGAAATAAACAATTCATAAGTTTTAAATTGGGCACAGTCCTGAGTAGCAGGATGAAGTCTCACACCATCATCATTTTTGTCCTGCTCAGGACCTGGAGGATCTTTTTGTCCACCATATCCACACTACACACTCTATGCCCACCAGCCACTTGGTAGCTATCTCAGTTATATGATCAGTGTTGCAATATCATAATGCTTTGTTTAAGTAACCCTTATTTTATTTTTAAAATTGGAGTTCACTGCCACCTGCCTTACAAGCAAAAGGACCCGAGTTCGATCCCCGGTACCAAAAATAAACAAACAAACAAACAAACAAATAATTGGAGTTCAAAAGTAGTGATGCCAGCAATTTCCTTACATTATATTGCTTTAATTCTTTCTTTCTTCTTATTATTTTTAATCTCTTATGGTGTTTAACTTAGAAATTCAGCTTTATCATAGCTATGTAACATGAAAAAACAAATAAATCAAACAGTTTTTGGTAGTAGTCACAGCTTTGGGTGCCCACTTCTGGCAAACAACTGCAAGAGTTAAATATTTTTCCAGTTGGCTGTATGCATATGTGACACTTTAGTGAAATTTTTGACATTCAGTAGTATAGTATTTTTCAAAATTCAATCAGAAGACAAAAATCTATTTTATACATTTTTTTCTACCACCAGTAATTTACTGAGAGCTACCAAATTTCCTTGTAACACTGAGTTGTGAATTCCTAGCTATTGTATCGATAAGTTGTTATTGACAAACTTCTGCTGTTAACACCTGAATTATTTTTAATTGTAGTTATAGCTTAATCAAAAGGAAATTGTGAAAAAGTCCACTTTATTCTGCTTGGATAGGAAAACACTTTTTGAAACAGACGGCTGATCAGATATTTCTAGAAATATTGGGGTTAATATTTTTAATCTGATCCACAAAAAGTAAAACTAAAAAATTTATAGCTACTTTATGCCCTTTTTATTGCAGAGAAATTCAGCTGCTTTTTTTTCCTGAAATTCCCTTATACCAGCAATTACTTGTCCTTGAGAGAAACTTATTTTTATGCCTACTTAGTAAAAATATTCTATCTATATTAAAAATAAGTATACACTTTTAAACACACATCACACATTCAAAATCATTGGTTGACTTGCCATTGTGAATTTTTTTCTGATGCTTTTCCAAATTAAATTTGGTTTACTTGATTCTTGAAGAGATAAGTGAACTGAAGCCTTCTTTCCTCACTAAACAGAATATGTTCATAATGAACTTTGGTATGGAAAGCCCTGCTTCATAATGACTTCTGCTAATGCAAACCTAGTCTGCTGTGTTCTTTCTTGTATGACGATCATGCTAATTATGCTAAAATGAAAGCTTTTTTTTTTCCTTTCTCCTACCCCTCCCACTTCCCCTACCCTGTTGGATGTTTTCTTCCTATTTCACATTATCAATTATTCTTTTTAATCCTTGTTTACACTTTCAGTTTCTCACACCAGATAAACTATGCAGTATTTACATGTGTGTCCTAATGACCGAAAGCTTTTTGACATGTCTACAACAGCAAGCAGTCATGAAGATTTTCTTTAGAGTGATCTTGTAGATTTATAATTAGCTTTGTTACTAGGTATTTGATGTTTTCTGATATTATGTTCAGTCATTATATAGAAGTATAATTTATTTTGCGTGTTGATCTTGCACTAAGCCACTTGGGTGAAATCACTTATCATTTTTAATGGATTATTTTCAAGTCCTTTTAGTGCTTTATATAGACAACCATATTATCTGAGAACAATCAATCTTCTTTTCTTTCAAATTCTTGTATCTGTCATTTTCTTTTCATATTGTCCCAGTTACTCTGTGCAGGACAGCATGAATAGTGACCATGATAGCAAATGTCCTTTCCTACTTCCTGGCCTTGGGGAGAAAGCTTTCCATATGTCACCATTGTGTCCTGTTTCCAGTAGGCCTGTTGAAGAAGCTCTCTATGGATGAAGGAAGTTGACTTCCGTAGCATCTTTAGAGGTTAAGATGATCACAGTGACTGAGATGGTGCTGATGATCCTGTCACTTGTCACATACTTCCATTCACATTACAATGATAGATTTTTAACACTGACCCTCATACTCTCAAAATAAACCAATTTAACTATAATGCATTATCTTTTTAATGTAACGGTAGATTTGACATGCTAAAATATTTTGTTTAGGATTTTTATATTTTATTCAAGGAAAAGTAAGAAGTTTAGCCTGTAAATTTTATTTCTTGCATAGTTTTCTTCAGGTTTTTTTTAACGACAGTTGTGTTGCCTGGATACATTGAGGTAGGAAATATTTCCTCTACCCCTATTTTCTGGAAGAGATTCATGTAAGACTGATATAGTTTCTTAAAAGTTTACCTTGACGTATAATGTATTGCGGAAATTGTTCATACAAACCTGAATATGCGGGGCCAGGGACTTAGCTCTTTGGCACAATGGCTGCCTCACAAGTACAAGGTTCTGAGTTCAATCCCTGGTAAAACAAACACTGTATATATATTCTGTTGGGATCCAGTATATTGTTACTAAAATCTCAATTACTTCTAGCTTATTAATTGTGCTTTTAAAAATCTGTATCCTTAGTGATTTAGAGGGAGGGTGGTTTATAAGGTGAGAGAGCATTACTAATATTTCTTATTGTAATTGTGGGTTCTTTTAAATTGGCCTTTAGTTGTGTCAAATTTGTCCTCAGAGAGGCCATTTATCAAGAGATAAGTCTGGGTGACTTACAGGCTCACTTCTGTTGACTGGTTATCTTTTTTTTTGTTTTGTTTTGTTTTAGTCAGTTGATCTTCTTTCCAAGTAATTAATCTTTGATTAAATATCAAACTATTGATGTAAGATATAAAGATTCTGGAAGATTTTTACTTTTTCTAAGAAGTGATTTAACTTTATTATGGCAGTCAGATACTTCATAGGTAGAGATCCTTGTGAAGCTTATATTCAAGCTGTTGTGTCTTTTCTGTTTGTTGTCTCCATTAGAGTTGGTGTCTCAGTTGAGGGCTCGGGGTTTCTATCAGATATCTTTCACCCTGCATTCTCTTGCAATTCTCTCTGTCACCAAGTTACTGAAGAAGTTGTTTCTTACCTCATTGGTACCCAGTGTTAAAGTACTAAGTCTGGTGTGATTCTCAGTACCTCCTCTACTCATATCCTCTTGGAATTGGAAACACAGTAAGGGAAAGCGTACTCATCACTTTATGAATTAATTTCATTAATTCTTTCATCTCTGGGATCTTGACCCTCCAGCTCCCACTGCTGTGGTATCTCTGCCCTTCATCCTTTTCCTCTTCATTTCAGTGAAGCTGCCACAAGCAGGCTTTGGGTATGTGGCTGAAATTTCTTTTCTGTTGATGAAATGGCAAGTTTCCCTGTTGTAAAAAGTGGAAGAAAATAAAGAGCTCATATCAGAATGAGCTTCTACATCTGGGACCTTGGCATTTTAAGTCCGGTCTGCCTTGATTGTTCTTTACTTTCCAACTCTCTCCTTTTTTTTTTTTTTTCAAAGAATGCTTTTAAAAATATTTATGGATATTATCAAGAGGATCTTAATTCTAAGTCAAGCTGTATCTTCATAGCCAGAATTCATATCTTCATAAATGAATAGGTCAGCCATCAATGATCATTTTAAAAGTTCTGGGGGTCGCGTTCTTTCTGTAGTGAACAAAAACAGTAAGATTTCTGGTTTCACAGGACTTTCATTTTGCTTGAGGTAGCAATGATGAGTACATATATATAGGCATACAGTATACTGCTTAAGGTATTGAAACTGTAAGAATGTTACAAACGTTAAGGGATAGACCATAGTGCTTAATTGAATGATCACAGCAGGCCTGTACAAAGGATGACATTTGAATGACGATGTGAAAATGACATGTGGAATAGCTCTAGGACAGGACTATTTGGGGCTAAGTGAAAGGCAAAATTGTAAAGCTTGAAGTACAAACTCAGTGTATTTATGGAACATGGAGTTTATAATAGGTAGCACTGTTCAGTAATGGAGAACACACACGTGAGAAGGAACAAACAGAAATGGACAGGGATTAGTTCACATAATGCCTAGGAAAAGAGGTTGATGTCAAGCACTTTGGATTGCATTTCAGACTCAGTAGAAAGTTATTATTGCATTTTAATTATGAGAGTTAAACATTACAGTATTGCTTATTTTAAACAGATGGCTTTCTTTGTAATGACAGACTTGATAGTTTAAGAGAGGTAGTCATTAAAGCCAAGTACCTATTAAAAAGATAGTGTTACTTATTTTCCTCCAACCTTCTTCAGCCACTGATCAGAATGTACGTTTCTTATTTTTCTCTCAGGTGTTTATATACAGAAGACCTATCTGACTAAGATTTTTGTCTTTATTTATTCAAGCAATAAAAATAATTGCTTTTTAGGTTATCGTCTAGATTTTTAAGATAGACTTCTAATGTAATCATATGGAATCTCTTCAAACCTATTGTC